GCTTGTTTTATTTGTGACTTGTTATCCAGGTTACAGGCAATTTGTTTGGTTTTGCTTCTGCATGCTGAATGAACCCAAATACTGTGGTTGGTAAACCATAATTTATGGCTCAGTGTTAGGTAGGAACCCAGTTAATTCTGGGTTTATTCGACACACCAGGATTAAATTGAGCCTTTGTATCCTGTGAGATCTCAGTGTCTTCAAAGACAGGAAGGCACCTTCTTGGGCTTACGGTGTTGCAGTGTAGAGAGTAAGGAAGACAACCTTGATGGAGAAGGGAGAGAGCCGTTACTAAAGCAGTGAGAAGGGAAATGTTGCTTGAGCCCATACAATGAAGGAGGAATGTGAAAACGTCACAGACACCTCCCTAATTCGCATTAGTATAAGAGTGGGAGGAGGTAAAGCATAGTCAGGCTTGCAAGCTTATAGCAAAGTTTTAGTCTTAATGTGGAATTGATTTCTTGGGCTGATCTGCATCTTGAAGCTGACATGCAGCAGTGCTCAGTGGAGCCAGAATACTTCTCTTCCCTGTTTTCTGTGGTAGCAGCTGATGAAATAAAGCCTTACCTGTTCTATGGTACCACAAAGACAATTCAGGTGCTGGAACAAAGCAGATAGAAACAATTGGGGGGAAACAAAAAAGTAGGTATGTATCCAGCAGTGTTTGCAGCCTCTTTTATTGAAATGATGCAAGCAATGTTATTTTTGCAAGCTCTGCCCCTTGGGGCATACGACACCCTGATGTGCAGAAAAGAGGCAGAGTTTGGGTCAATATTGCAACACAGTTTGAATCACTCTCCCCTCCCCCTCACAAATGTCTCTGCGCATATCTTCCCGGAACCCAAAGTCTGTTCTTTAATTCATATTTTCATATAACTGAAAACAGTAATTTTCATACATTCATACATGCAAAGGAACCTAGCACACTGCATACTGAGATAAAGTCTGCCTTTTGAAAATTAGTTCTGTGTGGAATTTTGGATTGCAGAAATTCAGGTGCTTTAATGTGGAATGCAATATCTTTTTCGTGCCTTTTGCATCGGAGGAGGGACTCTCTTGGAAGGCAAACGCTTGATGCCAGGGACTGTATTTTTTTTTTCCAGAGGAAGTGGAAAAGGAAAACACATCCCTAAGCAACAATGGCTATCCCTCCCCACTTCCTTCAACTGATGATTATTTTTCCTTTCTTGTAAAGGCAATAGAGCGAGGTGTCTACTTTGAACTTATTTACGTTCCAGCCATCAAAGACTCCACAATGCGACGGTACACAATTTCGAATGCCTTCAGCCTGATGCAGATCTGCCGTGGAAAGGTGAGGTCAAAACACAAGGAATGTTTGCCCCGTGTCTTCCATCACTAGTTTCCTGTTAGCTGGTTTGAATGTAACGTAGCTTGCTTGCACCTACGTTTTGGAATGTGGAGGTGTCCGGAGGGGGTCAGAAAAGTCAAAATGGCAGCCAGGACCATGCAGCCAAAGCCTCTATCCTTTTAATGTGATGACACATGTGGAAAGGGGCGGAGCTTTGATCACTGAGTAGTAACTACCATTTTGACTTTTTTGACACCCCACTCCCCCATAGACGCTCCTGCTGTAGCAATGATTATAAATGGATTCATCGGCCAACGGTTGTTCAATATGTCCAACTGATCTGTTTCGAGGGAAGAGGAAAACAGGTTGTTTGTGATTACTTTGTACCTGAAAAGCTTGCAAATTCCTGAAGGAAATCAAAGGAAATATCTCACAGGTGAGCTGGGTGCAGTGCCTTTCGGCCAAACATAATGCACCAAGGCGGCCCTGAGCACTTGTTACAGAAAAAGGGCAGGGTTGCGTTTAGTACCTGTACTTCCGTGTTGTCCAAACTTGGCCACTTTAAGATGAGTGGACTTCAATTCCCAGAATTCCCCAGCC